TGACGCGGCTATGTTTGTGGCTGGTTGGCTTTTGCTGCTCTGATGCTATCACTGAAAGTGGATTCGAGCTGGAATCCAAGATATCAGGCGGAGAATGGTCTTGTCCCAGTGACGGCAAGACTATCTTTTAGGGCCGCCTTTATGTCTATTACCCCCACCCAACTGTCTGGCGGAATTAGTGGTTACACATTTAATTCTTGTTTAACGAGTTTAAATGAATATGTAATTGTGTCGAAGGTGACCAAAGAATATTAAATTAAAGCCACTTATAGGCTCAATAGGATGGACTCCATCAACACAAACTCCTGTTGCTCAGGCAACTGATGCCTACCGATGGAAATTTGACTTATACGAAAAAAGGGAAAGCTGGGCTACTTCAAAAGGTAAAAGTAGGTTATTGCTATAAGTCAAAAGCAATTAGGACCGCTAAAGACAGTCCTACCACTTCTTTTTCCAACGTTGTTTGGACTAAACTCACCGAGATTTGCTTTTTCTCTGTGAGTCACGTTAATCTCCTTCCCTGTGATTACTTTATTTACGAACAATATTTCTGATCATGAGGGTGTGCCTTAAAACTTACAATAGGATGTCTACAATGTTACGAGCGGAAAATGCTTTCGGCAGCATGATTAAAAGTGCTACTGACACAGTCTACTTATTTCCTTTGTGCCAACGTTTAATTTCTTCTCAGGGAAAAAACGACATATTTGATGCAAAAAGTATGCTAGAAATTCCTCCTTTCCCCCTCAACTTTTTACGGTTTAAGAAGCATTTCTAGAAGGGCTGGAATTGCTCATTTGCTCCTCGCACGACGGGTAGCGTTATAGGAGCCTTTTCCCCACCCCAATTTAATACAGGGGGCTTTACACTCAATTCTAGGAAGAAAAAATATTCATGTCACCAATCCCGAGCGCTATCCTCATCATTAACCCCACCCTACCCTTAATCCAAGCCTGAATTTCCCTGGAATTTTGCGCAAACTCACTCGTATTACGGGATTTTTTACATGCCATGTCGGGGGAGGGGGGATGGGAGAGAAATTAGAGATAAGCAATCCCCATCGAAGGGAATTTATTGACAGACATTTATGATTATGCAAGCTAAAGTTGGCAAGGGACAAAAATACTTTTTCATTAGTGGAGCTGGTTCATGCCAATTAGGCCTCTGCTGATCTATTTAAGACAAATGTCCTTTTATATCGCATAGGCAATCAGTTAAACCTAATTTTAATCTGTCCAGGCATTTCCTCGTGCTGTAGATACGAGTATACAGTAGATGACCTAACTCCCGCGAGTTTACTTAATTTACGAAAGATTAATAATCGCTCGCAAACCGAAATCAATACAAATGCATTAAGATACTAATAATGAAAAACCGTAAACAAAATTAAAAAGTAAACATAATAGGAAAGACAGTATTAAGCTAACCAGAAATATTAGTTGTTTTTAAAACGACAAAATAGAAAAAGTGAAAAATCGATGCAAATTTGACCAGTTAATATAAACAGAAGTTGCAAGCGCGATCATAAATGCCCATTTCGTGTATAGCAAGAATCCTTTTTCTTTCGTCAAATTGCTTTATATGCTTCCGAGCATTGGATTACAATTAGTTTCAAATCGTTCCTAAAAGATCTTCCAATACTCTACAGTTTCTAATATTTGCAAACGGCTTATCAGAGATAATGTTCCATGGGTTTATAAAAAGCTTCAAATTAAGACACCATTTAGAGCAATTACCGAAGTAGGTAATTTTTGGATACTACTTTTTATGAAGATAGTCGTGTGGGTCATATTTGAAGATTCACATAAACACAAAACTAATTACCGAGAAAAGAAGACGGCCACACGAAAAGTCGGCAACTGATAACCTAAAGATCAATTTAAAAACGGTCTCCGTGTTATTTCTTTAAAAGGCGTTTCGTATAGATATTTCGGATGAATATACACGTTATTTCCTATTTTTGAAGGTAATGTTACGATGCCAACGGAGAGCTGTGACCGGCGATGTTGGCTTCCCTAGAAAGTGTTGAATAAATGGTCTGCTTAAAATGAAAGTATCCACTTTTCTCTTTGTATTAAAGTTTTTTCACAATTGGGTCAACTGAAATTAAGCAAATCTGCTGTTCCGAATTGGTGGATTCCATACGAGCGGTAAGTTTGGGCGGGTAATATCGACCCAAAGGTGATTAAATTCATGGCGCGAGGCAGGGCGTTTGTAGCTTAGCGGTTAGAGCGTTGGCTCCCGGTAAAGGCCTTCTCTAATAAGCGGGTTCAAATCCCGCCGAACGCCTCAAGTTTTTTTTACAATTGGGTCAACTCAAATTAAGCAAATCTGCCAAACCTCCTAATAATTATATTAAAGTGTTTACGCTATATTTGTTTATTTTTATGCCCTATTCTAAGACTGCAAATGGACAACAGACAAATATACATTACAGTTTTGCGAAAGCTGCTAGTTTACTGCTCGTCCACTTTCTAGATTATGCGTTAGCAATAAGTAGGTCCTATTTATTTTTCAATATCGCATGTGTGAAATTTTACATACCTTTCTGTTGGCGTCTATCTCTGCAGTAGAATAAGCATATTTTCAATTGACCCAATTGTGAAATATTTCGCGGCCTGAGTGGGATTCGAACCCACACAACAGGGAAGGCTTTTGTACAGCCAAAGATCTACCATTGAGCTACGAAAGCACGCCAAAGTTTTGCAGTAGGTTGGGCGGGTAAATCGATCCAAGTTTGATTAAATACAAAGCTTCGGCGTGCCTTCGCCGCTAAATGGTAGAGCGTTGGCTGTACAAAAGCCTTCACTGCTTTTAATTTTTCAAATTTGTCGAACGCTCCTAAAAAATATATTTTTGTTTGAGGTGCCACATCTCTGTGTGCTGAAGAAAAATACGGTAAAACAACTTAATTACTCCAAAAACTTCAAATATCTGCAAAACAATAATTTTTTAAAGCTGAAAGTGCTCTTGCTTTACCGACGATTGAACTTTCTCTTACCGGCTTTTACCTAGCTTTCGGGAGCACTCAGCCAATTTCTTCTTTCGCCAGAGGGGTTATTTTAAAAATTATCGGCTTATATTTACGTTCGCGTTTAAACAAAGTGCGCAAAAACAAGAAACTTTGATCCATAGCTTTCCGCAGCCTAGAGCAAGTACTTCGATATCAAGAAGCGTCAGACTTTGCCCAATTCTGCCCTGTTTTTTGTTTAATTTAAGATACGGATTAAAAGGAAGTATTCCTTAGTACACAACATTCTACGCCTCAAATCACTTCGACAAACAAAATTAATGACCCCAAGTATGTTTCATACTACCACCTCAAATTTAGATTCCGACATTTCTTGAGTTCAGCAATCTGCCGCATACCTGCTCGTCATCAGCTTGGGAAATCGACTGGGGACGGGGGAAGGGCGGAGAGAGAATTTGGTCTACTCTAAACCTGCCTCCTCAAGGTACCTCGCGCATTTCGGCAAAAGTAGCTCATGTAGTCCCACTCATTAATCTATACTTCAAGCAGGTTGTCCTATGAAATCGGTGTTTATAGGGTTTCGTGGTTGGGAATTAGGATACGCAGTGAAATATAATAAAGGCTTTTTGACTCCAGACACAGAGCCGTATTTTTAGTTATACGAAAACGGAGTTTCAGGTAACGAAGCGATTGATATATTCTCATTAAATAACTTGACAATGCAATGGCTACAGTAGTTTAGGTAGTGCACGTCATATAATCCTAGTCCCAGCATTTTGTCCCAGAGATGGAAGGGCACGGCCACCTGAATCAATACGAATCAGAAGGTATTGGAAGCCGCATCAGAAGGCAATTTTTATGCCCATGTAGCAACGGGAACCTTGATAGCTTGTGCATCACTGTGCCAGAGGTCGGACGCAGAATCGATTAACTGCTCTTGGGACAGAAGTCCGTAGTACTTATCCTTTTATCTCCTCCCCCTACTCATCCTTCTACAACGGAAAGACAAAGGTAAGCGCGCTCGTACACATGGACTGAGAAATCTAAACAGACGCTATAAACGACTTCGTTCTTATAATATGCATCAGACCTCGTTTAAGATTTGTCCGGTACTTTTGTGGATGGAGGTGCCATAAAGCTCCTATTAAGAAGAACACATTGTAGTCTGGTTCTCAGCGCTCAAAAGGGCAGCATCACACTATATTGTATGTAGTAAGGACATGCGGGCAAAAGCAGCTTATGTAGTCCCACTTATAT